TTTTTCAGAAGGCTTGGAATATAGCGCATGAGTCATATGGACTAACTGTATGATGATTTGTCATACCTTTTAAAGCTTGAAAATTATGGGCTTTATTGAATGCCATTACATGGAAAGAACAAACTGGAACATTCTTCCAAAGTCCTCCTTTTGTGTTCCATGGAAAACAAGCAAGTAATATAGGTTTGAAACAATATGTGAGTAAAGATGACATAATTATCATCTATAGACATTTATCCATATTTAATTTAGTAAGTTACACTGAAATTTGTTTGACCAAAGTGAATTGTTTTATAAATATACTTACCACTAATGCACTTGAATTGCCAGCAGAACTCACTTTTCTTCAGGTTCAATTAGGGCTGCACAATTAATCGAATTTCTAATCGCGATTACAATTATGGATGCCACAATTACGTAATCGTTCAAAGTGGCAATTAATCGTTCAAAGTCCACTTATGTTATTCGGCGTGCTTAAGATGCGTTATTTTCTTTCTACATGTTATTTTAAAGGTTTTTCCCATTATTTTAATTTTAGTTTTAGTGTCAGTTGCATCAAACAATGTATAAACATCATTCAATGTAAATTGTGATAATCGTAATTAATAAATCGCAATTACAATTTCAAGGGAATAATCGACAATTATGATTTTTGTCATAATCGTGCAGCCCTGGGTTCTATCATTCTTTTTTTCATGTGGGTATAGTTTGGACAGGTCCTTATGGTATGCTGCAAAAAATATTTTAGAAACAAAAATGTGAGATATATTCATTATATATTTTTAATGGCCATTGACTTAACTGATTTCTGCTCCATTGCCCTTTACACATTTAAATTGCACAGGAAATAAAGATTCTTGGCTAATATGCTGTATAACATAGAATTCAATATGAATCCATAGTAATTAAACAAATTACTCCTTTGAGCCGGTTCTATTTATAAGCAATATGTAATATAAATATAATTCTTTGGCAAAACAATGTAACAAAACGGTTGCTAAGCAACACGCAGCAACACAGACTTAGCGCAGTAATACTAATGACAAATGACTAGCCGTGACTGTTTGAAAAAAAAAAAAGCAGTACATCCAATACACGAACAAACAATTCTTAAGTGTTCTTCTAATTAATTGTTAAAACTCGCATGATCTGCGAGATATATTACTTGCAGTTATGTTGGTTTCGAAATATAAAATACGTGGTCCATATCACATACTGTACAGTATGCAGCCTTCAAAAATCATATCGAACAGAAAGAATGAAACTAATTTTAGGCGATAACAATCACATTAATTAACGTTAAAACGCCTAATGTATAAATACACTTTAGTAATGCCACTCACCTGCAAAATAATTGGCGACAAACCGATGTCTGGTTTCTCCCTTAAGCACCATTTGATCCTTGGAAAAGTCCGTCTTCGTTATTAAACTTCATTATGTCTCCACATGAATGTGTGTTCTCATGTAACTCAAAATGCCAATTTCTACCATTTTTTTAAATAAATAAAAGAAACACACCGACCATTAAAAAACAAGTTTGCAAGTTGGCAGTTCGTGACGTGAACGTTCAGAAGCCAAAAGCGCACCAAGAGAGATCCACCAATCACTGCAATGGAAACTGGAACTGACGCAAGCATTTTGTAATGACTATTACAATGGTAACGATAATGGAGAAAAATAATAATAATATTGTCACAGATCGGCCAGGCTCAGCCAACTCACAATCACAGTGAACACCATCACCTGAGTCTGATCACACGCACCTGTCACGGATCAACAATCACACTCAGCTCCCATTCATAAGCACACACCTCACACCACTCCAGTGTCCGATCTCGTTCCAACGAAGTGGACTCTCTCTCTATGATATCCGTAAGATTCATTGAAAGCGGTTACACAGTTAAGCTATTAGATGTGTGGTTAGTTTTGTCGCATATGGTTTCACTGTCAATACTGCAGTAAAACCATGGTTAATTTTGTAGTTACCATGGTTTTACTGCAAATTATATGATAAAACCATGGTTACTTTTGTGGTTACTATGGTTTTACTACAAAAACCATAGTTAAACCATGGTTACTCATGTATCCTCGGTTCCCTGAAATGAGGGAACGAGACATTGCTATGGGAATTACCCTTTCCTCCAAATTCGGTCACTCTACATTGCTATGGGAACGTATAAAATCCCGCCGTGTCACAGCGATGGAGCCTGGCTCGACTAAGTATGTCAAGTTTCACATACGGAACCGTAATGAGAGCGGCAATGATATTGGCGCTCTTGTTAAACAGCTCAGGTCTACAGGACCTAGTCGAAACCATGTAAGTAGATGATGCCGCGTCACACCAGGGGTGGAGGTAACGCCGGTATAACAGAGAATGTGAAATGGCGGCGTCTCCGGCGCCATCACATATAGATTATCTGAAGTTTGTTTAATTTCAATGAAATTATGATGCAACAGCCGTACCAGTGCTCAAATAAGCAGAGTATGATGGTGATCATGTCCTAAAAGACGCGATGAACAATATCATAACAATGTGATAAGCTGATAGGGACAGCATTGAATTAGTGGTACGTCAACACAGGGGTGTATATGACCTAGTCGAAACCACTGAGGCAAGCAGCTCAGATCATTACTGAGGCTGAGTAGGCGCGTGCGCTGCTCGCACTGACAGCACATGTGAGGCAAGCGACGACACATCTAGGTTATAAAACGTCACAAAAGTGCTGGGTGACGACCAACATGCCACCATGCAAATCTTCTGAATAGATATGCCATTTGCCCAGGCCCACGAGGACGCGAGTCCGCGGGTTGAGTGGGCCCGAACCCCTATAGGACATTTCACGCCCTTAGAGCCATAAGCCAAAGCAATTGCGTCGACGATCCAGTGTGACAGCCTTTGCTTGGACACAGGCAGGCCTTTTGTGCGCCCTCCAAAGCATACAAATAGCTGGTCCGAGAGCCTGAACGGTCTACAGCGCTCGGTATAAATGTGCACCACACGTACAGGGCACAGCAAAAGTGTATTAAGCG